GGAAATGGTTCAAAGCTCAGTTACTGATACCGCGCTATCTTTTTTGGCCAAGAGACTTAAAGTGTGAGTAAGTTTGGTTTTACGCTGCTTTTAGCAATATTCCAGCAATATCACGGCGGGTGACACCAGACATGGGCTTCATATCTTCTACCCATGTGGGAATCAGACCCGCTTAAAGTGTGAACCGTAATAGAAATAAATAGCATCCACTTGTTCCACAAGCCTTTGTTTCATTATTTGTGACAAGGAAAGTTTATTACGAACACGCTTACAACGAACTGACGGATATAACAAATGTAATGAAATTACAAGGTTGAGCTTCGTGTTAGAAAGCTTTAGGAAGAACGTTGATGTTTACAGTGGCTGGTGCCATGAGCACATGGCCTTGAACAGAAAGTCCGATGAGAATGATCCCCCTTAGTATGTACTGATAACCTACAACTAGTAATATTAATAATACTACGTTTAGTGAGCCTCTGTTCGCCAGACATACTTATGTTACAACGGACATTTATTTTGGTCCCGGAAATGCGTATAACGAACTACGAATTAAAATGTGTCATCCGTTTCAGTTCGTTAAAACCGTAGTTACTGAATAGTTGAAATCCGCCACATATTGTTTAACACGATGGTTCGGGATATCCGGAAGTATACTGATGTATATACTGATAATTCAAGGAAGTAGCACTCTCTGACACCCTATAACCAGGAACACAAATATGTGAGGTGAGATTCCTGAAACCTGTGTATTGACTTTGAAGAAGGTTATTCGCCATGGGTGAAGGGATCGGTGAATCACGTTTACTCTGGACATATCATATCTATTTTTCCTTGAACGCATTTCGATCCGGGTTAGAATTGGTCTTCAGTTGCCCATGCTTGTCGTTAGTGGCGACTAAATGGATCAGGTAGTCAGACTCGCTCACTTGGTTGACACGTATCTTCATATCAAAACTGAGTATATGAATGTAGATGTCAGTCACTGGATTGTCTGATCCAGACTCCATTATATATAGACCGTCGTCTTACAGTTGGAATGCTGTTGATTGTGGCGTTAAACAACAAACTCCTCTTGAAGGAACTTGAGGGACAAAAAGCTAAAAAGCAATCTGTTCGGCTAAGCGCTCCGTTCAACATATTGACGGCGACGACAATTTCTCATTAAAACATCATATTTCGTCCCTTTGAGAAACTCCTTACCAACAACTCCACAACAGAATATACCCGTATACAGTAAACATTGCTCTAATTCAAATGCTTACATATTTTTATTTATTACATAGTGGTAGCAGTTTCCTGTTGGTTTTTCTTCCAAACCAATGTCTACTTTGTATAAGACTGTTAATGTGTTGTAGATTTTATATACATTGACAAATCAGGTATTTTGAAGTTCGCTGAAAATCCTGCAAACTCACACATCAAGGTGCATTATTTCAAAAGAATTTAGAAACGCATTCTTCTGTATTTTTTCTAATATTAAAATATGATTCTATTGTGTCTGATTACCTTAGACTTCAAGTAAATACTGCTTGTTCTGATTTTTGGTATTTGTCTTAATTAGAATTTGTTCTTCCTTAAAGCAGATGGAAATTGCAATGTGCGTCTTATATCGGTTTTACCACACATTAATGCAAAGGAAAGGTTTATTCAGTGCACGGAACATAGACTTTCTTAATTTTCTTTTAAACGATATATCCCAGTTAAACGTATCAAGAGTCTCTCTCCCCCAGCAATAAAGTCACGGGGATCTAATTGAGTAATGGAGGTTAAACCAAAACCAGTACACGCTCTGTGCTTAACACATAACGGCAAAAAATAATTATGACATTTAAACAATCCAAGAAGTTGCGCCAAATGCATCGCTGTTGCTGGTTGATAATGGTATTACTGGAAAATGTTTTAATGTTATAAAAAATATGTATCAGCATATATTATCATGTGTTTTCTCATAATGGCAGTATAACCCAATTCTTCCCTTATAATACGGGTGTTAGACAAGGGCGAAAATTTATCTCCATTTCTGTTTGCTCTTTATTTACATGATTTGGAATATTTTCTATCAAATAACGTAACTGGTTTTGGAATTTGTAAATGCTTATGCACGAAAAGAAATTGGCATATTCATTAAGCTATTGGTAATTCTTTATGCTGATGATGCAGTACTTTTATCTGAATTTCCTTCTGATTTGAAACTTTGTTTGGGAAGCTTTTGATGCTTACTGTACAACGATGGAAACTATCAGTAAACACTTCTAAAACTAAAGTTTTATTTTTTCCAAAACAGCAGTAAGATTAGTATTTTATTTCTTCTGCAGAATACTGTGTTAGAGGTAGGAAAACATTATGTTTATCTTGGTGTACTATTCACAAGCACTGGTCGCTTTTGTAAAGCCATTAAACGTCTCTCTGACCAATCGTCTCGTGCAATGTTTACTATATTTAGAAAAAAATTCGCTTCCCATTAGATATACCGGTCGACTGCCAGCAAACTTTTTGATCAACTTCTTAAGCCTATTTTTATTGTATGGTGCTGAGGTGTGGGGCTACGAAAACACTATTCAATTAGAACGTATTCATTTGAAATTTTGTAAATTCATATTGAAGGTAAAACAACAACCCCAGATTTTATGGTTTACGGTGAACTTGGAAGATATCCACTTAGAATTTCTATTAAATTGAGAATGTTATCATATTGGTGTAAGTTATTATTATCTCATGGTAAACTATCAAAAGTAATGTATAAATTAATGTTCAATTTGCACAATTCTCAGGCAAATGCTAAATATCCGCTAATAGCGGTAATAAAATCTGTCGTAGAGAATACAGGCTTCTTTAGTTACATTTGGCAATTACAAGAATTTCAGAGTTCCCATTGGCTGGTAAATAATGTTAAAACTGTACTCGTTGATCAGTTTCTACAAAGAGAGAACGTAAATCACAATCATCGAAGGGTTTATATTACAATATGTTTAAGGATAATCTTTGTATTGAAACTTATTTATTGCAACTTCCCTCTAGATTTACGTATTCATACTACAAAACTTAGAACTTGTAACCACAGACTCCCCTGTCGAAGCTGGTAGATGGCATAAAATTGATAAAGAAGATAGAATGTGTACATCATGCAAGAGTAAACTTGGGGATGAATTTCACTTTATGTTAGAATGCAATGAGTTAAACGAATTACGAAACAAATATCTCCCTGTACATTATTGTAAAACATTCGACTGTTGATAAATATATTTTAACTTATGTCTATCACATACAAAACCAATTACTTTTTAAACTTGCTCTTTTTTGTAAAATGGGGCTTGCGTACGCCCGTTAATGTAATATGTTTCTCTTTCATTGTTTTTCACGTATATTTGTTTTAATTTCTATGTCATGTATATGACTTGAAAGCATCTAATTTCGTGAGAAGCCTTCCAGTGCATTCTAATTTGAACATTGCATAAACATTCTCACCGTCTTCCTACTTTTGACAGAAATTCTACACCATGGACAAGCGTTGTTGTCATTAAACACGTGTTGCACGTGAGATATTGCCGAGGAGCTGGTCAAGTAAAGCATTTGTTATTGCTCAACATCTGACATATCCTCTCAATTTATTCATTTTTATGTTTATTTCCCGCTACAAGGCTAGAAAAAGGGTAGTCCTTTTATAAATTGAGACATTACAAAGGCCAACGTTCAGCTATGAATGCACATATTATTCGGTACATTCAACACTGTTTGGCAACACTGAAAACATTCTCCAGGATGTGTGTGCTCACGAAAAGCTGGTATAAGTCTCTGTGGTTATAAATTCTTGCTAAAACGACAGTGTGATTATACACCACTGATAATCTGTTAGGTGTATTGATATAGTTCTTTTTATGTCCAAATGAGAACGATGAATTACACAATAATTAAAAAATCAGGAATAGTCTACGCATGCCAATGCATGGTAATAAATACCCTTTACCTAACAATATCTGATGTTTGTTATGTTTATACCCATCACTGTAAAAGTTGTTTTAAGCAACTGTCATGTTGTTTTGGTGAAGAAACTGACATTTTAACGGAGGGACACAACAATAAGAGGAACAGCGCAATCACGTGCTGCATCGCCTGCGTCTTTGTTGACTGACAAGATGCCCTAGTTGATTATTATGGTGTATAGTTTCCTTCAATGTTTTGAAGAACAAGGAAAATTACTTTATGTCATTAATAAATGCTTGAAAAACGAGCTTCAAGAGCTCTTGGCGCGCCTCCTAACAAGCTGGAAAATGTTATCCTTCAACGGGACCCTCGCCAAGCTGGTGGGGAACATTTCAAACTCATTTATGGTTGATAACTTAGACAGTTTTCAGAAAACTCAAGTTAGATGTAAAACTGAATTATAAAAACAAGCAGAGGTCACCAAGACTCTTGTAGAAATACATTGAAGCTTTTTTACATTTTCTTTCTTCCAGCAATAAATCTATCGTTAAATTACATCATTAAGGATTAACCAGGTGAACGAACTCTGGGCCATGTGTCCGTTATTCATGAATATGTCCACGTCGATTGAAACGTGAAGCCCTCTGTGGTGTCGTATATCATGCCATTCAAAACACATAATTTCTTTCGCTCGAAGGGTAAGAAAATCTGTGTGAAAAACAATATGGCTCTGATTGAAGACTGACATTTTAATTACCGACGCTTTTTCAGTGACAATGGAAAGAGTCACACAGCTAGCAATAGTAATCACTGCGAGGTAATGATGTGCCATCTGGTCTGGAGTGAAAGTGTATAAATACTGTGCTGTTCAGCAACAAGCACCACAGGAAGGTGACCGTCCACCTCCACCAACCGGTTGTCCCCACCTCCAGAAGGTGAATCTCGACAAGCACCACAGGAGAGTGACCCTCCTCCTCCACCAACCAGATGTCCCCCATCACCCGAAGGTGAATCTCGACCACGAAGACAAGCACTACAGGAAGGTGACCGCCCTCCACCACCAACAGGAAGCTCTCCACCTCCAGAAGGTTAGTCTGGCCCACAAGGACAAGCACCACAGGAAGGTGACCGTCCTCCACCTCCCAGAAGGTCAGTCTGGCCCACAGGAAGGTGATTGCCCACCTCCACCACGACGAGGCCCTCCACCTCCCGAAGGTAAAGGACGAGATGCCAGAGGTCCTAGAGGAAGAAGACCCCCTCCTCCACGCAGGAACTAACTTAGTTTCAAGGTAAACATGTTATACATAACATTTATAGAGGTGTACAGATACCGATATGGACCTACCACTCTCAACATATCTTATCAACAAATACTGTAGCGTTCTTTTAAAATATGCAAAGCTGTGATGAATAATTTCCTAAACCGCTTAACTAGATCATGTCGGATGTATAAGGCACTTCAAGCTGATCCCTGTACAAACTCTGTTTGTTGTCATGTTTAATAATACATATTCTCTTTATTTTACAGATTTTCCCTTCGTTAATAAAATCGTAATAGAGATTCAGATCTTTCGTTGTGAATTACCTTAGGACACTTAGGGGGCGCGGTTGGCAAGCTGGCTAAGGCCCAAGGCTAGTGATCCAGCGAGGTTGAGGTGCCGGGATCGAGCCCACCTGTGACCGGGTGTAAAACCCTTGGAGTCAACTTTGTGTGCAGACTCTTTCCGTGTTGTCACAACCCCTAGTGTACCCTGTGCGCTTAAAGAACCCCTGAATCCGTTGGTATATGACCAGATGGTGGCCACATGAATACGTGCAAACACCTAGTTGCGGGTACAGCAAGGTGCAGTAAACTTGGACAAAGTACTGTGCCTATGTGTCCCAGTCCACCCAGTTGTGAATGGGTACCTCGTTAGGATGAGAGAAAGCCACAATAACTCGGTGCGCCTTGTGGCAGCAAAGTTATATACTCCCAGGGGAGTTGAGATGAGTGAGTGAGTGAGTTAATATTTAACGTCACATCGGCAATATTTCAGCCATATCGTGACGAGAACATTTGATATTGAAATAAAATGTATGTATATTATAAAACACCTGCCGACGAAGGACAGTAAAACAACTAGAGTATCACAGATATACATGTAAAACTAGTAATTGAATCTAAAACATTTTAACTATAGGGGACAACACAATGTAAAAATGGGCTATAGATCGCCACCAACTGAAGGTAGATCACCATACTAGGATCCATGGGGACTTACATTACTTTGCTACCTGCATGGATCCTAGCTGGATTTACACCATCCCTTCAGCCGCTGGCGATTATAGGAATTTAGCCAGCAGTTCAAATAACAAAATACTACGTTTAAAATGTGATAATTTATACTTTACTTTGAAAGTTTTGGGACTTACGTACCCTCTCAGGAGGACAATAATTTTACGCTTCTTCAACCCCCTTTGAGGGTACAGCCACTAACGATCTCAGTTACTAATTTAAATTACCAATAATAAAATATTTATCTATTTACAAATCATTTAACAAATCTAATTCTTTTAAAAATGCAATAATTAAATGAGTACTAACATTTATAAAAGATCCTTCAATGTTGTGACATTAAAATACTTATCCTTGTGATGGAATATTCAACACAGTCAAGCAGGACATGCTTGACCGTGATTCTTTCATCACAAAGGGATGCTAAAAACGGAGGATCTTCGCCTTTCAGTAAATATTCATGAGTATATCTTGTGTGACCAATGCGACATCGTCGCATATGGCATGACCTCTTCAAATCTGGACTGACAACCCAAGTAGGTGTAACCAATGTAAGGTTTTATTGCATGTAATTTATTGATACCTACTTGGGTGTCCCACTTCTTCTGCATTAGATCGCGGATGTATGTTCTAATGTTGGCTTTATAATCAGAGTATGGAATGAGAAGTGGTGTCACAGATTTGTTTAGTGCTGCCTTGGCAGCAAGATCAGCTCATTGTGTTCCCAGAAATGCCAACGTGGCTGGGTAACCAACAGAAGACGATGTCGCATTGGGCAGTAGCAAGTTCATTGTACAATTCAATAATCTCTAATAAAAGTGGATGTTTGCAAGAAAGATTTTTAATAGCCTGAAGACACGAAAGAGAATCTGAAAAGATGATATATTGTTTATATTTACGGTGTTTATTAATATATTTAAGAGCTGTTAAGATGGCGTTTGCTTCTGCTGTGAAAATTGAACTGTCATTAGGTAGTCTGGAAGATATTGTTTTGGACCCAATGACAGTGGCACAAGCTAACCGCGCCACCATCCTTGGATCCATCTGTATATAAGGATTTATAGTTATTATATTTATTTCTTAATTGACTAAATTCTTGTTTATACTGTAAATCATTAGTTTCGGATTTTTTAAATGTGGTTAACGTTAAGTCAACGTCAGGCCTCACCAATTGCCAAGGAGGAGAAGAAAGAAGACGGGAAGGAGATATATTTTCCAGCTCAATGCCGGCAGCAGTAATGAATGGCTTAATCCTGAGCCCAAGAGGCGGAACAAGAGAAGATTTCTTGTTGTACAAGTCCTCATAAAGAGGATTAAAGATGCACTGAAACGCAGGATTAGACTCGTTAGAATATAGCTTGGTAATATACTGTAATGATAATTTTATACGGCGTTGGGTAAGAGAAGGCTCATCTGCCTCGACGTAGAGACTGTCAACAGGAGATGTTCTGAAGGACCCAATACAAAGTCTCAGACCTTGATGGTGGACTGAATCTAAGAGTTTTAAGTTGCTTTTACAGGCTCCACCATATACGATGGAGCCATAATCAAGCTTCGAGCGGACAAGTGATCTGTAAAGGTGTAGGAGCGTAGCTTGATCCCCTCCCACCTTGAATTAGACACGACTTTCAATAAATCGAGTGCCTTCAGGCATTTAGTTTTTAGGGATTTAATATGCGGAAGAAAGGTTAAATGGGAGTCGAAAATCAGACCCAAGAATTTGGCCTCTTTGACAACCTTGATGGGAGTGCCATTTAAAAACAGTTCTGGGTCTTTATGAGGCTTATATTTTCTACAGAAGTGTAGACAATTAGTTTTTGATTTAGAAAATTTAAAGCCGTTTTCAAGACACCATTTATTTATTTTATTTAAACACAACTGCAGTTGCCGTTCAATAGTATGCATATTCTTACCGCGACAAGAAATGTTAAAATCATCCACAAAAAGTGATCCATCAATGGAATCGTTTAAAACCTTGGATAAACTGTTGATCTTTATGCTGAATAAAGTGACAGACAAAATACTCCCTTGTGGGACACCCTGATCCTGATTGTAATGGTCAGACAGGGTTGAACCACTCGGACTTGAAATTGTCTGTCTTTTAAAACTGTGATATAAAAAGAAGGTAAACGACCCCTTAAACCAAAATCATGTAAATCCTTTAAAATGCCATGCTTCCAGGTGGTATCGTACGCTTTCTCGAGATCAAAGAATAGCGATACTGCATGTTGTTTATTGACTATTGCATTTTTGACAAAGGATTCTAAGCGTACCAAATGATCAATGGTACTACGATTTTTCCTGAAACCACATTGAATATTTGTTATGAGATTATTGGTTTCAAGATACCATGTTAATCGATTATTTACTATTCGTTCCATGGTTTTACAGACACAACTCGTTAAAGAGATTGGTCTGTAATTAGACGGATCAGTATGATCCCGGCCGAGACTTTGGTATAGGTACTACAATGGCATTACGCCACGAAGGTGGGAAATTCCCTGAAGTCCATATTGTGTCAAAATATTTAGAAGCGTTTCCAAACATGTTTCCGGTAAATGCTTCAAGAGCTGATAGTGTATATTATCAGCCCCCGTTGCAGTATCATGAGCTTGCTCAAGGGCAGTATGGAGCTCATGTAACGAAAATAATTCGTTATAGTCTTCACCATTGTCCGAGTTGAAATTTATTTTTTTCTTCTCCTGTTGTTTCTGGTATTTCTGAAACTCAGGGACGAAATTCGATGATGACGAATGCTTGGCGAGAGTGTCACCAAGCTTATTGGCAATGTCAGCCTTATCTGTCAATAAATTTTCACCATCCTTCAGATGGTGAACAGTAGATTTGGAACCTTTGCCCTTTATTCTTTGGATCATGTTCCACACTTTTGTCATCGGTGTGCGGGAATTTATCTTGGAAACATAATTTCGCCAAGACTGACGCTTATTCTGCTTAAATGCACGTCGAGCCTTGGCATTTAAAATTTTAATTTATCAAATTATGTACGGTAGGATGTCGTCGATAATACTTTTCAGCTTTCTTCCTACTCTTTCTGGCCTGTTTACATTCGATAGTGAACCATGGTTTACGAATATGTGGAATTGCAGAGGACTTCGGGATTGATGTGTCAGCAATGTCATTAAGGATATCAGAAAACAACTGAATAGGATCTGAGACATCAATAAATAGATCAGAGTTCAATTTGTCAGTACAAAGTGACTGAAATAATGGCCAGTTAGCCTTTGTAAAATTCCACCTCGTTGCCGGTGGGTTGACAGTCGGATTTATAGCAGAGAGAATTGTGGGAAATGGTCACTACCACAAAGGTCAGCATGGACCGACCATTCAAACTCATGATAAATATTTGGATCCGACAGTGACAAATCAAGTTCAGAATACGTTCCTGTACCAGGATGTAAATATGTGGCTGATCCATCATTAAATATGCATAAATTATTATCTGCAACAAAGTCTTCAAGGATTTTCCCCCTAGCATTGACAGTGATACTTCCCCATAGAGGATTATGCCCATTTAAGATCACCCATGATGATACAGGGTTTTGGGAGTTGGTCAAACAGATTCTGAAGATCGGACTGTTGCAAGGGAGAAGATGGAGAGATGTATAAGGAGCAAAGAGTGAAAGTTATGTGTAAGGAAAGACGAACTGCCACAGCTTGAAGGTTGCATTTCAGAGGCACAGGGCTATGGATGACACCCTGTCTCACCAAAATAGAAGCACCACCCGTAGCTCTATGTCCCGGAGGTGAAAACGAGTGATATGAGTTGTACTGACGGATATCAATCTATCCTCATCTTTAAGATATGTCTCTTGTAAAGAAAAAGCCGATGGTTTGAAATCTTGTGATAGTAATTGAAGTTCATTAAAATTGGTCCTAAGACCTCTGCAATTCCATTGTATTAAGTTCATAACATTGTATTTGATGGTGGAACAGTTGAAAGTGAGCGCGTGGAAGCGCTACCCTACACCCCTGTGTGTGAAGGGTGATCTCCATGGCAAGTGGTTCAAATGCATTTTGAACCACCACTGGATTGCCAAAGAAGAGGCTCTTCCAAATGTTGAAGAGACCTGGTCTTTTCTTCAACTTTTTCTTTTCTTTACTCGTTAATTGAGCAACACTCTGAGTAGCTTGAGTTGACTCAGTGTCAGGTATTTTATCTGACTGTGTCCCCTCAGTCTGGGATGCTGACGAGCGCTGACAAGTTTGTAGTGTCTGAGTTGTGTCATCGAACGATATCTGAGCTTCACTGACCCAAAGATATCACA